GAGGGGGGAGGAAGGGGGCGTGTGTGTGGGTAGGGGGTTGCATCAGGAGGGAAGGGGGGGGGTCCCAAGGGTGAAGAGGACGCGCTGGCCTTTTTTGTTGGTTTGTTTTCCTCCTTATTTAAAAAAAAAAATAATAATAATTTGCTGCCTAGTCATCTTCATCGGTTTTCTGCTTCTTGGGATCAACGTCGTCGTCCTGGGGGGAAAGCAAAGCCGTCAGGAGAGGGGATGTGGAGCGGGGCTGCTGGGGGGCTGGGGAGCTCCCCACCAAGGCAGGTGGGCAGTGAGGCAGGAGATGGTTTTGGGTCCCCTTCCCACCTCAGGGACAAGTACAGAGCAACACCAGTGCTTTACCCCTTGTGCAAACAATATCCTCGCAGCCAGCTCGGGGAGCCCCAGAGCACCCCTGCCCTGGCCCCCACAAGCACTCTGGGGCTCCCCAACCCCGGGGCCAGTGGCTCCGTGCAGCCAGAGAGGACACCCCACTAACCGGGTCAGCGTATAAACGGAACTGGGCCGCGTCCCCAGAGGGGCACGGGGAGTGCTCAGGCAGGGCGTCCCAGCCCCAGAGCTCAGCCTGGCCCCCTTGAAGCTCCCCCGGAGCCCTCTGGGGAGATGGGCAGCTCCAAAGGGCTGGTTTTCCTTCCTACCTCATCGTCCTCAGCTGCCCGTTTGCCTGTGGCTCCCTCAGCTTCGTCGTCTTCATCACCATCCTCTTCCTCACCTGCAGGGACAAGTGGAAGAAGGTCAGACTCCTGGAGGGTTACAGCACCATGCACCTCCCCACATGGCGATGTCTTCCCAGGTAGAACAGACCCTGCTCAGCACAGCAGTTCCCCAGGACACGGTGGGGGACTTTTGGGGCATCTCCCAACTGAATTAACCCACCAAAGGGGAAATAAAGATTGGCAGCATCAAGCCTGGCTCATACCATGTTTCTAGCACAAGCAACAGGACAGCAAAACCACCACCTACCACAAGTGCCAAAATCACAGCAAAAAAGGGGAGGGGAGAAAAAAAAAAAAAGGGGGAAGAGGAAAAAACTCTTTTCTAGTGGCTGTTCTGCCTAACCCTTACAGATTATTTCTGCTTCTCTTCGCTGCTATTAGCCCATCTTTAATGAGTTAAGAGAGCCAGGACGCATTAGTTCTGAGTCAGAACACTTTCTAATTATCAGAACAGCAAACAAATGCTACGAACTTATCTTACAGCCAGAGAGGAGATGAGCAGAGAGCTCTGGGCTTTGACCCACTTTGAGCTCAAATAGGCCAGTGGATCAGAACGAGCAGGTCCATCACCTTCGACCAGTTTTGGGGGGGTCAGGGGCAAGACCAGAGGCCCCAGAGTAGGAGCAACCTCTTGGCTGCCAAGACGAGTCTCTTGTGTAACAGGAGACCCTACTAAAACTTACAGCGTTAAGGCCAGTAAGCTGGCTTTAAACCAGCGCCACAAGTGCATAGACAGCCGGGGGGATTAAGGTCAGCCCATCCTCCCTTCCCCTCCTCTGCCTGGCGTGTGCCCAGCCACGGCGTGGCCCATGCAGCGGGAAGGGCCAAGATTAGCTCCCAGCGATGGATCAACACCCCAGCAGCCATCGCAGGCACTGGGCTGGCTGGTGCGTCAGGTGACAGCGCCAAGCTGATTGGGAGAATTTTTAGTTCTTTGAGCTGCTTTAAGCAAAGCAAATAATGAGATGGAATGGGGAGAAGGGTGAGGAAAAAAAAAAAAAAAAACCCAAAAAAACCCTCAAGCACCCCTTTGCTGTCAAACTCCAGGATGGAGTTTGGCCACAAGGGGTGGAAAAAAAAGCTGATGCAACCTGCGCTCGTTGCCTTTAAATCTCTCTCCTGCAGTGTTCAGCTGCTCAGGTGCAGCTCTCAGGCAGGGATCACCTGAGGGCAGCAGGCACAGCCGGACAGAGCCCATGCAGGATCCTGGCGAGGCATTAGCACCTCCAAGCACCGCATGCCAAGTCGTGCCTGCGCTCGGCAAGCTGGGAAGTGCAGGGCTGGCACTGCAGGACCGAAGCTCCCCAGGCTTGTCACAGCAGTATCCAAGCAACACTTCCACCCCCCACACATGCGCAGGCAGCACACCCATCCCCACTCCTGCCCGAGGAGAGCTGGGAGATGAGGCAAGCATTTCCCACTCTTCCACCCCAAAAGCAGGGCTGGAGGTAGGGGGACTCAGGACAGCATACGGCAGCACTGTGCTCTGTCCCCAGGGGTTAAAATCCCAAGTACAAAAAAGGACCACGATTCCCAGTTTTTCCTAGTGAACCAGTCTCTACCAAAGGGCAGAGCAGGCAGCAGGCTGATGAGAGCAGAGTGCTACCCCAAAGGAGGCAGATTTCCCTGCTTACACTGTCCAAACAGGCGCTGGCCTAACGGTCACTAAATTTTCAGCCCTGTCCCAGTCTCCCAAAACTAACTAACAGGTTAGTAGGTCAGCCCATACACCAAAAATTCACATGGAATTAACCTAGTAACAGCTAATCAAGGGTTCATTTCAGCATAACAAGAATGGTTTTCTCCCAGCCTTAACGAGCGATAAAAATAAACAATGTTATTCATCCAAGCAGATCTTGGGAAAAAAAATAATAGCAGGGAGGGTGAGAAGCGATTCGGCAAGTCACTGCTGGATTTCTGGTGGCTGCTGCCAAAACCCACTTCCAGGCTGGGTCAGGTCAGGAAGCAGGGGAGGGCAGGGAGACGCCGGGACCCTGCAGACACAGGGAAGGCTCGAAGCAGCCTGGCAGCACCTCTGCCTGCTTCCACAGGGCATCCAGCCCGGAAAGGGCTGGGAGGGGAGCACAGCAGCCTCTCAGCACACTGCTCCATGACCAAGGATGGCAACGATAGGCCATCCAGGGCTGTCGCCATATCATGGGCCAGCACTCGCATCTGCAGCAGCTGTTGTGATCACAGGAGCCAAGGGCAGGTTTTACTATTTGCACGGAAGGGCTAATGCGCTTATTCAGCGCCACGGTACGGTGCTGTCTGGCTGGAGGAGGGAGGAAGGAAGGAATCTGCCCTCAACGTGCTGGAAGGGATTCAAGGCTGACTTCACTCCCAGCACTGGTGGCCTGGGCAAGCGAGAAAGGAGAGAGCCTGGCTGGAGAGAGCCACCTGGCCACAGCCGCGAGGGGGAGATGCTGCTCTCGGCTCTCCTCTGCTTCCCGGAGCCTGCTGTCCAGAGCAGGATGCAGGCTGGGATGGAGGGGAACAAAGAAAGTTACCATCACCCTCTTCCTCCTCGTCCTCTTCCTCACCACCTTCCTCTTCCTCTTCGTCTACTTCGTTGTCAGCCTCCTGCTCTCCGTTTTCCTCGTTCTCCTTGGCAAGACAAAACATCACTTAAAAAAATGCACTGGGGAAGGGAGAAGGGGGAAGAGATATTCAGCAGAAGTGCGTGTCCCCACCTTTCCTGCCTAAAGCCAAGCACCAGCCCACCAGAGCCCCAGGCGCGCGTCCCACTTCCTGCCTGCCTCTACACGAGGCAGGCAGCCCAAGCATGAAGGATCAAGGCTAGAGTAACTTGGGGCTGCAGCCTGGAGGTCAAGACAAAGACTGCAAAGGCTATTGTGACACACTGAAATGCAGCAGAGTGAGTTTCCCCCAGCATGTTAAAAATAGGAAACCAGACAGTTTACTTGTACACAATGTGTTTCCCCCACTCAACTGATTATAACACTTTAATTATAGGATATTCCCCCCCCCCCCTTCCAACACCCAAGGAGGAGGTGGCACCTCACTCGGCTTTCAGGGAGGGGATACAAGCCCAGCCCTTCCTTTCTGCACACACATGAACTACCCACAGGCTCAGGAGCATCTGCTGAACCTGAAGCCCCAAAGACTCGAGGTCTCTGCACAGCATGGTGCTGTCATTTGGAGGGGTCTCCTCTCAGAGGGGCTGGGGACAAGTTCACAGCAAAAGCAAGGAGGGAGAGGAAAATAAAGAGGCATTGGGGTCTAAGGGCTGCCTCTCCCTGCAGATTGTAGCCATACTCACAGCGTTGCCGTTGGCCGGTGCATCTCTGCCATTTTCTGTTTCTTCAACAACTTCCTTCTTCTCTTTTAGATCCTGGAAGGAACAGAAAAGCAGAGATGTCACCTCAATTCCAGCTGCCTGGGTCAGAGAAGCTGCATATGAGGTGTGAAAAACACAGTCCAAGATAGAGCAAGCAGAAGCTGGTTTCTCTTCACATCGATTTGCTCTGCGATTTGGTCACCACATTCTGGCTCCTCTTTGGGAATGGGAGAGCGTAGGGGAGAATCTCAATCCAAGTCAGCCTTGCCAGAGAGCAGCTATCTAAAAGAGACTGCTCTGTTTCACCTCCGAGTTCCCAAACAGACAGAGCTGGCCGCCTGCATATGCTCAACAGCAGCAGAGCTGGCTGATTGCCCATCTTAGCACAGTCCACGCAAGCTCCTGCAATGCCATGGAGAGCCGACAGCCCCATCCAACGCACGGGCTCTGCCACCCCAGGGCTGGGGACATCCACGGCTGCTTGGTACCTTCGCAGCAGGAACAAATACCAGGGACTTGTTAGCAGAGACCGTGGTCTCTGCCCTGCCTTGGAAAATCATACAGCAAATATTACATGCCTGGTCTTTCTCGCAGTAGCAGAAAGGAGACTTCAGTATCCAGCTCGCAGCTTTAAGTGTAACAGGATGGGGCGGGGGAAGAAGTCTATTTTTACACTGCTCCAAGAGCTGTGCCTGGCTAGTTCGGTTCAGATCTCCACTGCGAACAGAGCGAGAGGAGAGCGGGAGCTTGTGTGTTTTTGCTATTGATCACTGTCAAAATGTCATGCCAAGTCGCTCGGCAAACAGGCTGAGAGGATCCAACTTTATGTTCCCGCATAAAGAACACTTGGATTTAACACTGGCATCTCTGCTTGCATCCTCCTCCCCTTCTGTTCCTCCATCAGCTGGAGTGAGATCCTTCAGCACAAGGAGCATTACCCCAGCCAAGGAAAGCAGAGAGGCCCTTCCCTGGGGCCAGCAGCACAGCCGCACAGCCGGCTTCAGCAGAACCACGAGGTGTTTAAAAGTTGCTGGCAGTTCCCTACTCCGCTGCAGCAGCGGCAGTGAGCGGCTTTGCCCCCCTCCTGTCTGCCCTTTGCGGCTGCTTGCAGCCCACAGCGAGCAGGCACTTTCACTCCCACTGAACCGTTGTCACTTCCTCGTGGGAATGCCGGTGGGTATGAACAGGGTCCTGGCCCTGCTAGTGGGACTGTGCTCTGTTTTGGGAGGGTTGCTACCACCCTAGGGCTTGTTTAGGTGAGACAGTATAGGGGTTTTAGACCACCAGGTTATTTAAACCACTCAGACCCAGATGGGCACACACAGACGTTGTTACCAGGGGCACCTAGGCTGCCAGTGCACTGAGGAAAGGCTTTCTTTGGAAGGAAGCTTTGGGGCAGCTACACCTGTTGATCAAACCTCACCTAATCAAACCAGCATCCCAGGAGCCTGGGGTAAAACAAAAACACAAGCTCCCTCCTCCTTCCACTGCTCACATATAAATCCCAGGCCGTCTCCTCCATGCTGCCCAATTCCACCACAGTTTTACACCGTCAGCAGCTCCGGCTCCCTTATTCCCCAGAGGCTGATCAGAAGCATTTAACCTCTCGCGCACCACCGCGCTGCTGCATTCAGCAGGCACTGTCTCCCATCAGGCACACGGGCATGAGGGCGACAAAGCATTTCCCAAGTTAACTGCAGAGCGAATCAAGCAGTCAGAGTTTCCACATCTCACCATGCCTGACGGTTCTTTTCAAAGAGTCGTTCACAAAATCTAAGTGATTCTCCTGGTGAAGGAACAACTCATTCTTGGGGATTTTAGCTGGACGGATCTCCAGCCCTGACCTTTCCTGCACCGCTAAAGACGTTCTCAGTTAACGACCATCAGGATGCCAGGTCATGAAGTTTGTGCTAGCAACAGGGTTGCAGAGAGGACCACAGCTTCTCCCTTTCCCCAGGCCCGGTCCAATACAAACAGACAGATGTGTACAGCAGCCTCCAAACCGGGAGTCCATGCAGCAGCACTGCTTTAGCTCCAAAGCTTTGACAGAGCCTCTAATTATAGGTGTGGTGAGGCTGTTTGTCCATAAAATAGCAGTGGTGTTTAGTCATACACCCAACGGCCCGGGAAGCGCTACCTTTGCTGCTGCCCCGCTCCCGGGGCACGAGCCCCAGCAACTGCCGGTGCAGCCGCGGCTCCTGGCGGGGCCGGGGGCCGGATCCCGGCGGAAAGGCCCGGGAGTGCCCGGCCCCGCTCGCCCACCG